ATACTGTGAAAAATCCCAGACAAAGCATCTCATTTGACGGACCCTCCACCAGAAAAGTTACACAGTGCACCTTTAACCATTATATATTGTAATGTTTTGTAATACTGCGCGGCCCTAATTGCATGTGATATATTTCTGTTTGTCAAACCTGTGATTAGTTGCCATTTATAGTACCACCATTCCTTTAATTGAGTCTATTTTGGTCACTCTACCTCCCCTGACAGATTCTGTGTCTTTGTTTGGCTCAGATAAACGCTTGACTTCTTCTCCCAAGATAAAAGTGTGAAAACTGCACGCCCAAAACAGCATCCGTGGGAGTCTTCGTAGTGTCTTCATTTGTGATTAGCTGAATAAATCTTCATCGACAAAGTGATTTATATGTAAATGTTGTGCACAGAGAATCAGAGGTGTGTAATTTTGAAGGCTCGTTATCATAATGCTGTGTTGACTCATTTTGTGAATATGAATAACTGGTTTAATGTGTTAAGCCCTGCTCCAGATGTTACTCCAGTGCACATCTCAGCAGTTTAGTGTCAGCCATTAACATACTGTAGAGTGTATCAATGGGCAGAGTATATATAGCAACTGCATTAAGGTAATCCATAGATAATTATTCTTCTTTCCTCTTTTATAGCATAAAAATGTAATTGAATAAATATGAATACGTGAGTTTAAATATCCTACATCATTCAAAATTGACTCTTGTGAGCTTTTAGCTATGTGATACTGCTGTCGCCACCTCAAAAATATATCTGGAGGTGTGCTTTGTTTCATTCACACATGTTTGGGTATCCTTTTATTATTAGTCTGTCTACATCTCCAAAGTTCAAAATGCTCTGTTCCATCTTGTGATGTCATGAAGTTGTAGATTTCAAGTTAACAGCTCCTTTTACCTTTAGTTCAGTAGAAATTGGCTGGTCTGAAATCATCAAAGTTATTCTAATGAAGGTGTATGGAGTTTAAAAACACAGTGAAGTGCTTCCTGTACCACCACATGACATCACAAGGTAGAACAGAGTGTTTTCCATTTGAATGAAGAACTAAGTCTAAATCTGTTATGTGTTAATCATGTGTGAATGAAACAAAACACAACCCCAGGTATATTTTTGATGAGGAAAAAACATTCTAACATAGATCAGAAAATAGCATGATATGGATCCTTTAGAGATCCTTGAAGGTGTCATTGCTTCTGGAATTGTACTTTATTCATTGTATTTATTTGACTTCCATTAGCTCAGCTTCCACACGGCTATTCTTCCTGGAGTCATCGACCTATGGTGCATGTTTTTTGGGTTGATGAGGGAAACCGATATCCTGATTTATCAGCCGGTTTCACTTCATAGAAACCGTCTGACCTCGCAGCATTAGAATTAGTTCGCTCAATGGTAGGCGGGTACTTTTTTTCATTTAACCAATCGCTGCTATTTGGTTGTGATGTATGTAATGCACCGCAAACAGGGCTAACTGGTATATTAAGCTTTTCCCAAATCCCGTAGGAAGAAGAGCAATAATATCTTAAAATCCTCAATCTTGGGAATCGTTGCCAACACAGAATATATGGCTCTTCGCTGATTGACTTGTGCCCGAACTCGTACTTCCCAGATTTTTGTGAACCTTCTAGTGTATTTCAATTCCTGACCTAGTCACTGGAGAGAAATGAAATCGAGTGAAGGCAACAGGTGATGCCAGCCTAGCTAGGAAACCGAAGTGCCCGGAGGAAACTCACCCATACACAGAGAGAACATGCAAACTCCACACAGAAAGGCCTGCACAACATGGAGATTAAACCCAGAACCTTCTTGCTGTGAAGCATGAGTGCCAGCCACTCAGCCATGTGGAATGTTAAATATTATGGCATTAATATTGTAGCACTTTGTTCAACCTCGTTATTGTAAAGTGCATTATAAATAAAGCTGCAATTGCATCTCTTTGTTTCCATGGAGACAGGCAATTAACATCTCAGAGCCAAGTTACTGGTCAGATCTGTGGAGAAGTGACAGATCTTAGTTAAGCCATTAAAAATACCTGTAATATAATAAAAGTGTGTGTGTATGTGTGTGTGTGTGTGTTTAATAGCACACTACAAAACCACCAGAAAAGTTACTCAGCTTCCATTTGAAGTTAACATACGTTTGTTTAATCTTTTTGTTCCAGGTAAAGAAATATCCCCGTTAACCTTTTCTGTCGCTTTGTAATAACAGCTCTTTGACGCTGAGACATTTTGAGAACCAAAAGAGGAACACCATGTCCAGTTCAGTGAAGCATCTCTCTCCCCATCTCTCTTTCTTTCTCCTTTTCTATCATTCTCTCAGTCTCTCTCTCTCTCTCTCTCTGTCCCTCTCCATCTCTCTCTTTTTGATAACATGATGTGCCTTCACCTGAAACTGGACACGGGCGTGTTGCTGTTACCCACGTCCCAACAGTCTCTCCCCTGAGCTCTGAAAGGTCACACAACACAGTCATAACAAAGAGGAGAGAGGGGTGAGGAGGAGGGAGAGAAGGAAGAACGAGGGAAGGACAGAGAGAGGGAGAGAAAGGGAGAAGCATTATAGGAAAAGAAGACAACAGAAGAGTAGAGACGGGAGGGAGAGAGTTCGAGCCGAGGGATGGGAGACAAGGTAGAAAAAAGAGAGATGGAGAGAAAGGGGGAGACTAAGGTGGAGAGAGAAGGAGGGAAGAAGAAAGATGTAAACAAACGGGGAGATAAAGTAGAAAAAAATGAGGAGAAAAGGAGAAGCCAAGCCAAAGAGAAAGCAAGAGGGAAAAGAAAATGGTGAGAGCGTAAAGACAGAGGACGAAAGAGGAAAAGGAGAAAGCAGAGAGTGAAAGAAAGAGAGAGGAGAGAAGAGAGAGGTAGGTGGTGGGATGGAGGATGAATAATGCTGCTGGACATATTAAATATAATACAGTAGGATGAGTACAGCCCTGTAGCTCCAGACTTTAATGACTTTACCAAACAAAAACAACCAGGTCTAATTGTACCTGCTCCTGTCCGTGCAGAAAACAGGAGCACATAATACAAAATTATTCAGGTTTGTAAGAATGTTTGTAGACTTACTATAAATTAAATAATTTATAATAAGTTTAAATAGATCCAAGTCTTATAATGTAACTGTACTGAAATGTGTATTTTTAATGCGTGTTCATCTGTCCAGGGACTCCACATTGAAAGTAGAAGTCCCTACATAGAATAAACTAAATCCAAATCTGAGGCTGGGTGGGTGGAGAATCCTGGCTTCAAGTGGTGGACATCAACTATCTCGGGGTCTTGTTCATGAGTGAGGGGAGGATGGAGAGTGAGATTGATGGGCAGATCGGTGCAGCATCGGCAGTGATGCGGTCGCTGTATCGAACCTTTGTGGTGAAGAGGGAGCTGAGCTGAAAAGCAAAGCTCTCAATTTACCGGTCAGTCTACCCTCACTTATGGTCATGAGCTTTGGGTAATGACCAAAAGGACAAGATCGTGGATACAAGAGGTCGAAATGAGTTTCCTCCACAGGGTTGCTGGGTGCTTCCTTAGAGAGAGAGTGAGAAGCCCAGTCACACGGGAGGAGCTCGGAGCAGAACTGCTGTTCCTCCACATCGAGAGGAGCCAGCTGAGATGGCTCAGGCATCTGTTCCGGATGCCTCCTGGGTGCCTCCCTTGGGAGGTGTTCTGGGCATGTCCCACTGGGAGGAGGCCCCGGAGAAGACCCAAGACACGCTGGAGGGACTATGTCTCTCGATTGACCTGGGAACGCCTCCGGGTCCCCCTGGAGGAGTTGGAGGAAGTGTCTGGGGTGAAAGAAGTCTAGGAGCCCTGCTAATACTGCTGTCCCTGAGACCCGGCCCTGGATAAGCAGAAGAAAATGGATGGATTGATAGTTAGTACCATTATACTGTATGTGTAATTGGACATAGTACTAACATACTAACCTGCTAGAAGCTGCGCTCCTATAGAGAAGTGTGCATGAGAAGTATTTTTTATAACATTCATATGAAAAGAATACGCAAACACTAGATTCCAGAGAGCATATGAGGAAAACGGTTTTAAATGCAATCCTTGAATTACAATGGAGAACTGAATGCAATTATTTAAACTCGTCAAATGAAATCCAAATATTGAAAAGCTGCTGCAGTTTCACTTCAACTTACAATTTAGCCATTAAAAATGAAACGCTAACCTAAAATTAGCCACACAATATTGTCATTTAAACATTTCAAAAAGCTGGTGTCTGAATGTTCTTGAATGTGACAAATGCACTGCTGTTCTTTGATATGGAGATTGAACATGGGCCCATAAAAAGAGGGAGGGAAGCAACAGCCGAAATGAAACAAAGTGATCCACAAGTGACAGAATGTGTGAGTCAGGCCTTACTCATCCAGCAAGCTTTGTCCATGTCCAAATGAGTGAGTGAGGGAGAGAGGAGAAAGAATAGAGTGGAGAGGGGACAGAGGGGGGAGAGAGGAGAGAATATAGGATGGGGACAATTGAGGGGACAGAGGAGAAAACAGAGAGGGGGTGGGTTCGGGACACATCAGAGGGACCCACACTGCTGCTGTCTGACAATTCAAAGGACCTTGATGTCAATGTCAGTGCAATTAGCAGCACTGGTAACAAATGTGCAAAGTTGGGGTTGCCCCCCAAAAAAAAAGCAATAACTAGAAAAATTTGGACAAGGACCCTTAAGAATAAAACTGCATTTGACATTTCCTCAAGGGTCTCCTCAGAACAAGGACAATAGGATTTTTAAAAAAAACTTATACAAGTATTGATCCTTTTCCTTTGTAATGAAGCAGAACTGGTATCCTTTTCCTATGCACATCACAGTTTAACAGTTTAATTTAAAATGCACTATTGTGAAGGGTATAACTTTTCATTGAGCAAGTTTATTAAATGACTAACATAGCTAACATTTATTTCCCATTTAAAGTTAATACTAATCTAAATCAAAGGTTCCAGTATTATTAAATGTACATATTTCCCCTCACATTATATAGAGTAATTTCACATCTCATGATTTGCATAAACAAACTTATTTATTGAGTCAGAAACTGCAGGATTACAAGCCATGCATTTAATTTAAAATCAATTTACAAATCAAAATTTGACCATTTGCCAAATTACTTTTCAAATACCTTAATGTATTTTAGATACATTTGAAAACAAAAACGACCCAATAGACATTTATAGTAAAAGAATGAAAAACTGTAGACCCAACACAAGGTTTGGAGAACAGGTGTAGGTTCACTTCCAGGTCGATGTGTGGGATTTTGCGAGGGGAGAGAAAAAAAATGAAACAAAAAGGAATAGAGACAGAAAGGGAGAAGCACAGAAAAAGGACAACTCAAGAGATGGGTGGCAAAGGGAGAGAGACTGGGATGATGGAAATAGACAAGCATTATAGAAAAAGGACAGCAGAAGAGATGTGAAGGAGGGAGAAAAGACAGGAGGAAGAGAAATTAAAGGATGAAAGTGGGAAGAGAAAAGAGCCTGAGGAGAGAAAAAAGCATAAGGGGAAAGAGGGAGAAAACAGGAAGAGAGGAGGTAGAGTAGAGAGTCAGGGCAGAGAAACAAAGTAATGACCAAATACTGTAGTTTATCCCTTAACAGGAGCAATGGCTGGCTTCTCCAGAGGCTTGATGGAGAACAGGTCTCGGAGGTTCACTTCAGGGTCGACGTAATGTGGGATTTTGCGTTCGTTGAAGAGTCCGGAGAGGTTCGTCTCCACTTTGGTCTTTCTGGTGATCCTCATCTTCAGGTTGAACAAGTTTTCCAGGTTTTCTTCCACCAGCGGCAGGCGGTGGCCATCCAGACGCTTCTGCCATGACTTCTTAGAGCGACGGCGCCTCTGTTGGTGACATGTTATATTACACACAAGCAGGTTTTTCATTGATTCTTTTGAGTGGTCACACTGGATGTCAAACACCACAGCCTTATCAAGATTGAGTGAATGATGATTTTCACACCGAGTAAGAAACATAACATTCAAAAGATGATATGCCAATTTCTGATCTATGTCATGGTTCCTCATTACAGATATATCTGGAGTTGCATTTTGTTTCATTTACACACATTTAATACACAAACCCTGGATATTTAGGCTGAGTTCTTCTCTCAAAACACTCATCCCCCCCTGATGTCATGTGGTACTACAGGTGCTCCACTAAACTCCATACACCTTCAATAGAATAATTTCAGCCCTGGAATTGACAATCTGCTCAACTAGGCAAGGCAAGACAGACAATAAATTAAACTCACTACATGCCATCACAAGGTGGGACAACATTTTCAGTTTTGGAGATTTAGACAGATTAATAATGGATGACTCAAAAAAGTGACAACTTTTTAATAAGGTAACATAACATGGCTTAAAGCTCAAAAGTCAGGTTCGCTTAATATTAGGACCTTTAATGAGTAGTAATTGTCCCATATTGAGGCGACCCAACAAGTTGATGATGCTTTAAGTGCATTATGTAACTTTTCTATTTGAGCGTCTGTTACCATGGAGGTTTGCCTGGAATGTTGTAAAATATGGCAATTTGCTAAAAACTCCCTTGGAAAACGTTTTTGTGAGTGAGCTCCTTCACCTTTAAAGCTACCACCACAGTATGAAATTACCTTAAGAGACACGCTGTTTGGGTCATGACGCAGCATATGTCTGTTCATGCTTTCCTACAAACAAGAACAGAAGACAATCAAGTTAACCAATACTGCACAAACTATAACAAAGCCTCCTCTGGATTTACTCACCCGCATGGCGAAGGTGCGAGTGCATTCTGGAAAACTGCACTTGTATTTGTTGAGTTGGAGGTGCACTTTACGGATGTGGTGCTGCAGGTTAAAGGTGGTGGAGAAGTAAACCTTACAGTCTGGACGAGGACACACCAGGACGGGCTTATGAGAGGCATGGAGGCGCTTGTGTCTGCGGAGGGCGTCGGAATTCTTAAACTCCTTCTTGCACTGTTTACAAGGGAAGGTGGCTGCAAGGAATTAAACGGGACAACAATTTATATTTTAGGTTTTGGATCAGTTTGGGAGCATAAAAATTAATCACAAAATGGACTCCAAGAACAAAAGTACATTTCTTAAATCGTATTATTCACATTGCCCCAGATATTTACACACAGAGGCCTCACGTGAGCAACTTTATAAAAATGTATTGGGACTAGACATATTGGGTCAGAATTTGCACTTTATCTTATGTGCCTTAAAGTTCCTGCGATATTTTAGAGACAAACCAGCTGCCTAAAAACAGATTTTAAAATGTGAGTGCGAAGATGGTACTGCACAAAATGTGACTACACTATTCTTATAGGTTGTAGTAAAACATGTTAAGTGTGAGACCAGGCAAGTTATTCAGGAAAAGCAGGTGTAGGATTCAGTCACCATTTACCTGGATGTTTCACTGCAATGTGTTTCTGGAGCCGTCCCCAGGTGTGTTCAAGAACCTTACAGTCTGCATGAGGACAGCGGTAACCTGCAAGAAAAAACTAATTTAACTTGAGATTTATCAACAAATCTTTCACAATATCTATAGATTCAACTTGTAAAATATGGCTTAATTGATCCATGTGTTCAATATGGTTTTAATCATTGGGCCTACAATCAAATTCAGCCTAGTAAGATATTTAAGGTATTTTAGACAAAACATCTGTAGTTGAACATTCATGATGTTTAATGCCATACTGGAATAAAATATTACCATGGAGATAAGCAGGTGACAACCTGCTTAAATACATAGCACACCTTTAAATGCTGTATTTCACTTCAACACACAATCTATAAATCTAACTAGCCATTATTTACATCTATCCCATTTCAGTCCATTGTACAGACAAATATTCCCTGGACGCCATGTTGAAAATGATCTCCACCCACCTGCGTGCTTCTTCTCGTGGGCTTTCCGAGCGACGTGGGAGTCGAAAGTGGCAGCGCAGTCGTCCTTTGAACAACTAAGACACATGAGACAAGAGACAATACTTAAAAATATCTGAGCTCGTCTCTGGGGCATACACCTACTCAAGTCTAACCAAAGACTGCATTGTACACTGTATTCAAGTTTAATAGTTATTGGAGATTTATACAATGTTGGGGTGACCAGCTTTTCAAGTCTCAAAACTGGGACATACCTGGGCTGGGATGGTTTGTATAAATAAATTGTGAAAAGACATTGTCCATTCTCGACTCACTTGTGGGCCAGTTATTCAAAGTTTGTCATGGAAGGTATTGCAGATTTATCCAATGTTAGTGATCAGCTTTACAAAATTCAAAACTGGAATACACTCTGGTTGGGATGGTTATTATAGATATTTAAGAATTGTGAATAAAGTGTGTAACATTGTGCATTCTTTGAGAAAATTCTATTAGGGCATTTTTTTGCCTTATGGTCATTTTCAAGCTTTTTCTGTATTTTAGTTAAACAAGGGACAATACTCCGCTATTTATTGTTGGCTTAAACTGGTCAAAAATAGGGACATTTCTTGTAAAAATACTGGGACAAATCACAGGTTTGGGTTAAATCTGCTTGGACAGGGGACATCGCAAAACTGTCCAATATAGTAAACCAAAACTACTTACCAAAACTTGGGCGCCATGTTGTGAGTTTTTAAATGCTGTTTAAACAACCGCCGTTTCTTGAAGGTCAGAGGACATTTGGGTTGGGTGCACTAGACGAAATAGATAAAGTATTACAAGCCTAGCACTAAAATTACAAGTCATAATTGTTGCCCTCTGGCGTCATCTTGTGGACAGTAACTCAAACTGCAGGTGTACCTTGAAGTATTTATTTTTGTCTCCGTGAGTGAAGCGGATGTGTCTTTTCAGCTTCCCAGTGTTGAAGAAACTTTTGGGACAGTTTGCAAATTTGCATCTGGAAGACACCAAACAAATAACCAGGTGATGTAGAAAATTATTTGATTAAATGATTAAGAGTAAGTTTATGGAGCAAAAAAATCTCAGATCTTTTGCTACAATTGAATACCATAATTTATGTAACACAATACTGACTTTGGATTTATTGTACCCTTACTGCTTGGGAAATATTGGCCCACCTCACATGACAGATGCACTCACCATTCTTCCAGTCAGTGTTGTGAAGAAGAAAAAAAAGATTAGTTATCAAAATACTTTTAGGAAGGCAGAGTCTGAGATGTACATTTTTTTCCTCAAACTTAAAGGATCATTGTTTAACTCTTGTGGTTAAGGGTCCATCAAAAGCTTTTCTCCACAGAGATGCTATTGCTTTGTCTGGAATGTTCCACAGTATGGTATTAAACCTTTTTATCTTTATGGAGACCACACAGATTTTCTAGATATTTTTGAGCTATAAAACCACCTGTAATTGAATAAATGTTAGGTGATAATGTCACACTGTGGAACATTCCAAACAAAGCGATAACATTCTCTATGAAGAAAAGTTTGACAGACTGTCATCAGAAAGGTTACACAATGCACTTCTAAAGTAAGCTAATCAGAAATCAATTTTTATATGCTTTTTATATTTATTCACATTTTTTAGGCCTAATCAGTCCAAATAATATTGCTAATACTGCCCCCGGTTTGAGAAATGGCGCCAATAATCAGGAACCAAATGTGGGAAACTTTAGTTGGTTACGCACTTGAATTGTTTGACTCCTTTGTGTTGGAGCATGTGGCGGCTCAAGTGAGTTTTCCTCTTGAAACGACGTCCACAATCTGCCGCTGCGCACTGGTACAGACGCTATGAAAACACAAACTTTTATCATACGTCAAACTTCATAACAGTTCAATTCATTTTTCGTGGTCTTTAAGTTTACCTGTCCGGTGTGAACGGTCTGGTGCTCCTCGAGTCTCCACTGGCGCGTAAACGTGGCCCCACAATCGGCGTGCGTGCAGTTGAAAAGCTGCAGATTCGGTGGTCCCGAGGCCGGCTTGGCGCTGCCAATACCGTTCATTTTCTCTCAGTTATTGCTTTGCTTACCGAACGTGTTTAGTGTCAGTATTAGTTGGGAAGCCGCCCCGTTTCTCAGCCGGTTTTAAAGACTTTTTGGAGGCACGTAATTGGGTAATTGGCGGCTGCTGGTGCGTCTGTTTCTGTTCTGAGCAGGTGTGCAATTACTATCAAGCTAGTCATGAGTGCCGCCTTCTGGATATTTGTGTTTTACTCCAACATGTTTTATTTTTATTTTTTAATTAATGGACATCAGTTAAAAAGACATATAACTGAAGAAATCAATACATACAAAGATTTATTTATTTTTTTTACTTTTTTTTTTCTTCCTCCTTGTGGTGACTTGTTGATCCGTTGCTGATTGTGATTTCTCATTTTCCCCAGCAGGTGGCAGACTGACCCCAACATACTGAAAAACATTTTGATTGCGATTCATCATGGAAAGGTAAGAATATGTTGAAATATTTGACCAAAACTCATTTACTTTATAATTGTTTGCATGATTTTAAGACTAAACAAAACTAAACGCTATGACCTATTATTATTTATACTGCTAATATTTTACTGATATCTGACAACCATTCATTTAAACAGTACACTTACTTCCATTTGAGCCCTGTTCAGTCCTGATGTAATTGGTATAGTCCTGGTTCAGTTCAGGATTCAGTCCTAGTTTATTCTCAATTTTGACATGGTTTATTATGTAATTATATAAAATTCACTTTATTCAAGACTAGTATATTTACTATGTATAACTATCTAAGTATTAATGTTGATGTACAGTTTGATCAGATTTTCATTCCTAAATTGCTTCAAGACATTTCGGACTGGTGTTTCTGAAGTCAAAGAGCCCTAAAAACACTTTTTAAATCTATGTTATAACTTTTCCTTATCAGAAGCATACCTGGAGTTATGTTTTGTTTCATTCACACGTGTTTTAGTAACCCATTATTTTAATCTAGTTTGGTCTGTTTACATCTCTAAAGCTCAAAACCCTCTTTTCCACCTAGTGATGTCTTGTAGTGGTAGTTCTCAAGTTAACAGCTGCCTTTTACCTTCAGAAGATATTGACTATTGGAGGGTTGAAATCATCCAAACGATCCTAGTGAAGGTGTATAGAGTTTAAAACAGTGGAGTGGTTCGCATGTTCAAAATGTGTGAATAAAACAAAACACAACTCCCAGGTATGTTTGTGATGAGGAAACAACATTATAAAAAGTAAATAGTGCAATATGGACCTTTTAACAATGGTGACATCAACTTTTTGGCATTTCTCCTGCAGTATTCTTTGGAGCTTTTATCCCTTTAAGCATTTTATAGTTGACGTCACTCCACAGATCAGCCTTGCCAAGTTTTGCATTAGTGAATTAATGTTTCCTTCACATCCTGATTGAAAATTCTAGCACATTTCGAACATTACCGTCTGTAGTTTCCCCTGACACTGCATTTCTCCAACTATTCTCCATGCATCCTCCCCCCCCCCTCCGGTTAGTCTCAAAGGGGGTCAGATTAAATATTTAAAAGCATTTGTCAGTGCGTCCATTAGCGAAATATGCAGCAGAAACGCTAGCATCAGGAAAACCACACACCTGCCCCCCACCAGCTCTCACCCTTTCACCCCATTGCCCAGAGCTCTGCCTTTGTCCAGGGACCAAGACAGGTTGACCCCCATCTGCGCGAGGATTATGGAGACGTGCAGAGAGAGGCTGAGGTGGAAATATTGCATCAGGAGGAAGGGTATTGATCATCACTGCAATTAGTGGCTCTTACACGGTGAAGTCAAGTGGTGTGAATGATTGACAGGTTTATGGGGAGGGTAGAAAGCTGGAGATGTGGCTGAAGAAGAAGAAGAAAGTGCTTTTACTGTCTGTGCATTGACAAACTGCAGTATTACACATACAGTGATAAAATGTCATTCATAAAGGTGCATTATGTAACTTTTCTGGTGGGCGAGTCCACTAACTGCTTGTCTCCATGGAGATGTTATTACTTTGCCTGGAATGTAAATGGCATGGTCTTTATTTTTTCAACATATGTTTTTATTGCTGAAAATACCTTGAAATAAGGGATTCTTACTGTGACGAGGCTCGCTTCTGCACAGATATGACCTTTAATTTGGCCTGGTTGTCAGTAGGGACAGGACAAGTTCTCTTTGCCACAAGATTGTAGCCAGGCTGGGCTGGTGCCACCTAGTGCCTACGCTCAATTTCATTTCTCTCCAGTGACTAGGTCAGGGATCGGAATACACTAGACTAGGCGGCTCGCAAAAACCCTGGAAGTGCAAGTTCGGGCACCAGCCAATCAGCGAAGAGCCATATATTCTGTGTTGTCAACAATTCCCGAGATTGAGGATTTAAAACTGAAATAAAGAGAATGTTTGGCAAATTTTATCAAGGGGAAAGACGTTATTGCTGTTCTTCCTATGGGATTTGGGAAAAGCTTAATATCCCAGTTAGGTCTGTTAGCGGCGCATTACATACAGCTCACCAAATAGCAGAGATTGGTTAAATGAAAAAAGTACCCACCTACCGTCGAGCAAACGAATTCTAACACTGCAAGGTCCGACAGTTTCCATGAAGTGAAACCGGCTGATGAACAAGATTGTGCACACATGAGAAAAATTATCTTGTGAGATTATTTTTAAAATTTTTTTTTTTTTAAGTCTACATTTAGATTTGACAAAAAAGACTTAAAGGCTGGTCATTTAAATCTCTTACGAAGTTGTGGTTTCAAAAAGTAGGTGTGCAATTTTAAAAAAAAAAGTTAAAATACAAAAATGTTGTACCAAAACTGCAAATGGGATCACACATTTTAAAAACGATAGATTATGTGAAAATCAAATTTTGTCTCGATCTCGTCGACCTAATCTCGCGTCTGGTCTTATTTGGTCAAAATTGTGTCTCGTCCCATCCCTAATAGTCAGATACGTATAATGCCATACTATGGGACATTACAGGCAAAGCAAAAACATCTCCAAGCAGTACAAGCACATGTCGAACCCTCCACCAGAAACATTGTGCACCTTTAACAGTGTAATAAATGTTCAGCTGTATTTAGATCACATTAAAACGCAAATCATATCTGCCAGTAAAATGGTTATCAGCTTTATCAAATCACTTACTTCATCAGTAGGGATGTAATGATATCCAGATCTCTTGGTACAGTATATTTTTGATATTTTGTGAAAGTTAACAAAACTTAATATGCTACTTTTTTAGACTTTGGGTCTGTCATCATCCAAAGAGCTAACATTTAAAAGTGCTTAATAAGTTATTTCCTCATGTAGTCTGCACTTAAACTGAGCAGAGCATTATGGTCTATGTAGTTTTTTTGTTTTTTTTTTTTACTATTGCTGCACCACAACAATGAATTTAAGGGAGAGAAGAGACTTATTGCGATGATCCATATTATTGTGAGACTTTTGACGTTACGATATTACGATATTTCCGATATTGTTACATCCTTATCATTATATTCAGTTGGGCGCAAAAAAGTATCAATGAATTTGATACTCACAGATTACATTTTGTCCACTTTATTTTGTTCACTCTACATTTTTAACAACAACTGTATTATGTTCTAGTGTGTTAGGTGTGGCATTCAATTAGGCTGCGTTTTTAAAGTTACACTGGTATTTTTTTCCCCCTTTTTTGCATCTCCTTTTAGAACACAGATTCACATTTCAGAGCACTCCTACCCTATGGATGGATTTAACTCAGAGAACATTGTTGCCACTGACAACATGAGCTCAGCCTATAAATAATGTTCACATGTCTATACAGCCAAAGTATGTTGGAGTTGGTTGCCACAGAAACATTAACTATTCACAGTCTTAAGTGCATTTGTCAAAACACATCGAGTAACGTTTTCTTTCTTTCTTTTTTTTTTTTACGCGGGACACACCTAAAATTCTCCGCACTAAGTATGGAGCCCACGCACGCCCCTCTGCTCTGTCACGACGTATCCCCTCCCGCGTTCCACCGCCGTTCAAACGCTCCCGGTGCAGAGAAAACCAGACGTGAACGAACGATTATCCCTATTCGCTCGTGGCCTATGCGCTCCGCGTCCGTGGTCCATCCTCCTCGCGCTGCATGGCAACGGGAGGAGACTGCTACAGGACGAGGGAGGGTCCCACGTGTCCCCTCCGCAGACCCCTCGCGCTTCTCACCGCTCTCCCTCCCCGCATCCATCCGTTTCCGCATACCACAGATCGCCTTTACGCGCACGAACACACCCACCACCACCGCCGCCGCCGCCACCACCACCACACGGAGCTACCATCATGCATCTGCCCCCTTCCTCTCCATCACTGCCGGGGCAAGTCTGAACCCTCTCTCTGGGCCTGGTTAGATCCTCTCATCCACGGGCCGAGCTATGATCCATTTTTCTCATATGCAAATCCCGGAGCGCTGCAGTTGAGAAAGACGCAGAGAGAGGAGAGATGAGAGGGAGCGCGCCGATAAACGTTTAGCGCGTTTTCTCCGCTTCTTCGCCATAGATATCATTCGCTTTGGCTCTTGCGCGCTTCCCTCCGCCCGTCCACGCATCCACCGGCTCCGGTTCGGGACGTTTGGCCGGCTCTCGATGCGGTAAAGCCGGGGGAATATGTGAAGATCATGCTGGCGGTGTGGTGCTTCATGGTGTGCGCTGCAGTGGGTGAGCGGCTCGCTGTGTCAGGTAAGGAGAGAGACAGAACCACACACACACACAAAAAAACAAAAAAAAAAAAACAGGAATGAGCAGTGCGGATTCCCTTTAGTTTTTCGTCGCATCCACACAATTTACACCTGCACCAGCACTTTTGCCCCCCGAGTATTTAGCGTTTACTGGGCGGTTTTTACAGAGCGGGGTATCCGTGCCAACAACCGGCCCCTGTGCTCCGTTGACGCGGTGGATTTGCTGCATCAACACAATTCCGCCGCAGCACCGATCGCCTATAAACCCCTACGTCCCATTCAAGCGCTGTCCTGTCAAATGCGCATCCGACAGGGCATAGATCAGGCTGCTCACAAAGGTGGTCGTTTTTTATTAGCAGCCTGGATCTTTATTTAAAATATACGAGCCACTGCTGGGGTCTGCATGGGCGTTAGTGCACTGAAGGACTGCAAGTTCCCATAGGCTCCATCATTCTCATATTATCACTCAGAGGAGAATATTTTATGCACTGGTATGTGAAAAGCTGTTTAACTGAGTCTGTAGTGTTAAAACTATTATTATTTTGAGATCTGAATAAGTCAAGTAAAGATTAATTGTTTGTGTGTAAAACAGGCTGTATGATTTAAAGGTCCTATATTACACAAATTTGAGCTTTTAGTCAAGTTAGAATGTTGTTTCCTCCTCAAAAACATATCTGGAGTTGTGTTTTGTTTCATTCACACATGTTTGAGAAAGCTTTTGCTGTTAGTCTGTTTATGTCTCCAAAGTTCAAAATACTCTGTTCCCCGTTGTGATGTCATGAAGCAGTAGTTTTCAAGTTAACCATAGCAATTCCAGGGCTCAAATGATCAAAAAATTATTCTAGTGACGGCGAATAGAGTTTAAAAACAGACTGGAGCACTTTCTGTATTGCCACATGATATCACAAGTTGGAACAGAGTGTTTTCAGTTTGAGAGAAGAACTCTAGAGCCTAAATATTCAGGGTTTGTGTGATAAACATGTGTGAATGAAACAAAACACAAGACTGGGTATGTTTGTGGTGAGGAAACATTAGAACATAGATCATAGATGTTGGACGAAATACTAGCGTTATCCAAGTGTCTCGAATCATTCATTTTTTTATTCATCATCTATTACGCTAAACATTTTTAGACCTAAATTTATTTACATGTTGCAGTCCTTACTTTTTTTTAAAAAGGTACATTGTGTAACTTTTCTGGTGCAGGGTACTTCAAAAGCTTTTCTCCATAAAGATGTTATGGCTTTGTCTGGAGTGTTTCACAGTATGGTATTAAACCTTTTTGTCTTTACCAGACCAAATTACAGGTCAGATCTGTGGAGAGGCAACCCTGCTCACAGTCAAAATGCCTGTTTTCTAGGTATTTTTGAGCTATAAAACCACCTGTAATTGAATAAAATTAAGGTAGAGCTGTTTAATGTCATACTGTGGAACATTCAAGGCAGAGCAATGACATTTCCATAGAAACAAGCAGATGCCCCAACAAAAAGTTACATAGCGCACCTTTAATTTCAGGTTTGTTAAAAAGTAAAACATTAAATCAAATTGTATTTTTCTGAACCCAGCCCACTGCGACCTCCTTCTGGTTCCCGAAAGTTGCCACATGCAGCAAATCACCTGTTTCCCAACGTGCAGTAATTCAAACAGAGTGTTTTACCCAAATATTTAGTCTTCGTGCAGACTGCGGGATTATTGTGACACTATTTTAAGTAGCTCTTTTCCAGACACTTACAGCTGCTATGTAATTTTGTGCATTATTTATAAACAGATCCAGTCTCATATTCAGGAATAAGCAGCTTCCATGACAGAAGTAGGCCTTTCACGATAATTACTATACCAATTTATCATTCAGTATAAGAAAGCTAGAAGAATATATTTTGGTGCTCAGTATTTACCGTATGTTCAACTTCTGTGTAAAAATTGGAAGATTTGGAGGTATTTCTATTGTAACACAATAATATTTGAGCTGTAAAAGGTTGAATAAGTGACTTCAGTGGCTAATTATAGGTTCTTTCAGCTTTTTATTTGTTGCAGCTCAGGCCTTTTAGTGATACTGTATTTAGAATAGTTTACTGGGATTATCTTGCATTATTATTATTGTATTAGTGGTTTAAAGTAGTTTCAGTATTATAATATATCGTAGTATATCTATGTAGCAATAGGTCATGCTTTATAAATTGTTATTGTGACAGGCCTAGATAGAACCGAGGTTGCTAATTTGCACCATCAACCTTTCACAGCTGGTCAAAGTGTCTTGCTAAAGGACATGACAGTATCCACTGGTTAAGCCTGGAATTGAACTGCTCTCACCACTGAGCATCAGCCTCCCCGTATCATTATTTAAAACAATATGAGATCACTGACATGACACTGACAGGCGCTTTTCTGTTGAGTGCACAGCTCACATCCTCTGTTCCACCGAGTGTTTTCCTCAAGGACACTTAAATAAGTCAACATCAAAGCTTAGTCACTTCCTGCATGTATAAATGAGCGTACTATTTGGCATTTCAGAGCATTTTCATGAAGGTCAGGGTGAGTCTGTGCTATATAATGGAGAAAGGTTAGTTTGTAGTTTGCCCTATCCGTATACCTACACATTATATGACCTGCATAATTACAGTGATTCACTTAGACTGGTGGAACATAAGTAAAAGTAGCAATGTACTGTACTTAAAGGTGCATTGTGTAACTTCTTATTAAACATTAAACAGCTCTTCCTTACATTTATTCAAATACATGTGGTTTTATAGCTCTAAAATACCTAGAAAAACAGGCATTCTGACTGTGAGCGGGGTCGCCTCTCCATAGATCTGACCTGTAATGTGGTCTGGTTTGATCTCCATGAAGATAGAAAGGTGTAATACCATACTCTGAAACATTCCAGACAAAGCAATAACATCTACAGGCAGAAAAGCATTTGACAGAAAAGTTACAAAATGCATATTTAAGTAAAAAAAAAAATCTGTATCTGTACTTTACTTAAGTAGATTTACAGTGGGTACTTTTTACTTTTACGTCACTACATTTGTGAGCATGTATCTGTACTTTCTATTCCACACATTTTTTAACTGGACTGAAAAGTAAAAGTATTTTTATAATTGTTTGAGACTTGAGGGGTTTATTTTTAACATGCTCATAATCTGAACAAACAAAAATAAATACCTTTTATACTGCATTTATCCTGAACTTTTCTGGTGGAGGGTGCGTCAAATGCTTTTCTTCATGGAGATGTTATCGCTTTGTCTGGAGTGTTTTACAGTATGGTATTAAACCTTTCTATCGTCATGGAGACCAAACCAGACCAACATACAGGTCAGATCTGTGGAAAGGCAACCCCACTCACAGTCAGAATTCCTGTTTTTCTCTGTATTTTTGAGCTATGGCATGCCATGATTTGAACAGAGCAATGACATATCCATAGAAACAAGCAGGTTACAGACCAGACCAACCGAAAAATTGGGGGTCCGTGCACCTTTAAGTAGATTTTTTAATGCCATACTTTTTTTGCTTCTGTACCTGTACTTCTACTCCAATAACAAAATTGACTTGATCTTGCCCTGTGTGTGGAGCAGGTGAGGAGCCCAGCCCGGAGGAGGACAGAGATGTGGGGGACTGGTTCTCTCTGGGCAGACGGCGGGACCACGGCGACAGCGGCTCTGAAGTCACCTACCCCAAAAGACTGGTCCAGCACGCAGAGACAGAGGAAGAGATGGAGCACAGGAGACTGGACACGAGGATCAACAACAGCTCCTTAGACACATCAGTGAGTTTGTCTTCTCTCTATTTTTGATATTTGCTTTAAAAGGACCATATTACCCTATTTTCTGATCTATTATAATGTTTCCTAATCCCAAACATACCTGGAGTTTTGTTTCATTTTTTGAGTAAATACATTTTTCAAAACACAACTCTAGGTTTCTTTGTGGTGAGGAAACAACATTATAACATAGATCATAAAACAGTGTAATATGGGCCCTTTAATAAGAAGAGGGGTATCTGTGTTGTTACTTATTAATTACCAACATGAAACAAATGTTCAGGTTTAACTGTAACAAATATGAAACATGACAGGTCTCTTTTAATTTGTTCATAATTTTGCAGAGCTCAGCCTTTGTTGCCTCTGCAGCTGCGTCCTGTTCTCAGTGGAGGGGGCTCACTGCAGTCTGACCCAGTTTGTCAAATAGAGTTTATGTCAGGAGAAAACTTTCAGATATCAGCATTTCAGCGTGAACAATCAGCTTTTAGACTGATAGCGTAAACGTTTAATAGCCGTCAACAAATATTACTGTTTTTTTGTCATTCCTTTCAATTGTTTATTTATATTACATTCCAGATGTTTAGAGTGATCTTCTCCTTAGTTGGCCTGTCACAATAACAAATTTTGAAGTAAATATAGATGATATACATGAATACTTAGACTAATTTATGCCACTGGCACAATAACCCTATTCTAGATTTAAAAATCACAAGCTGCGATAAAACTTACGGACTTAGTTTGCAGTCACAGAAGTGATTAATTCAACATTTTTACGGCTTATATCTTATCATATAGCCAAAAAATAACCCAAATCATTCTGTAGTGCAAAGAAAATACACACACGCTAAATATTGACCGTAGTTTTTATATATTCAGTGATAAATCAATATAGTAATTATCATGACAGGCCTACTTATAGGTGACCTTGAACTCTCTATTATTACACTGTAAATCTGAATTAACAACTATCTAATCTTATCTACAATAATTATGGCTTAATTGCCTATTTGCTGTTATGTAATCTAAAAGTTATTAATATAGTGTAAAAATTATTACACAAACAATACTTCTATTGCTTATCACTCAGCTATTTAAAGGTGCACTATGTCACTTTTCTGTTGGAAGGTGCACATGTTGTTACTACTTTGCTTGATTATTAACAGTATAGTATTTAACTTATTTGTTTCATTACAGGTTTTTATTACTCATGTTACTGTACCAAAACATGAATTCTAAATGTGAGTTGCTTCTCCTCAGATCTGACTTGCAATTTTAATTGTGGCTTGTCTCCACGGAGATAGACAAGTTTGATGACATACTGTGGAACATTCAAAGCAAAGCAGTAACATCTCACAAATGAAAATCAGGTGGCATGTCCTTCACTCGAAAAGTTACATAATGCATCTTAAAACACTGACATAGAGTTGTGGTTTGGTTTAATTATGTACAGTAAAGTACAGAATATATCAAAATCATTTACCTTCACTCAAAAAGTTACATACATTTCTACTTTGCTATTAAAAATATCATACCAATACTAGGGTCGCCTCTCCTCAGATCTGATTTGAAATTTTCCTGATGGCTTGTCTCCCTGAAGATAGATTTATGAAGTTTAATGAGATACCGTGGAACATTCCAGGCAAGGCAATATCATTTCATACGTGGAGGAAAATCAGGTGGTGGGCACTTCACTCGAAAAGTTAATTATTGCACCTTAAAACATTGCCCTAGAGTTGTGGTTTGTATTAGTTATGTAAAGCTATGTGTATATATCAAAATGTGTTTAATTCAGTTGGCTTGGCTGATTGCGCTGTCTTCAATACTATAAATAATACTGGCCAACTCCATTTCGAAGTTGGGCCTGCCGCCTTATAGCCAATATGTGGTTGCATCAGACTTTGTAAACACTAAATGAAATGAGAGTTTTGCAGAGGTCGTCCATAAAGCTCTCCGGCTCCACGGACGATCACGTTACGGCAGTTATGATCCTGGACCTCCATAATTCAGTGGTGTGGTGAAGTATGTCCCATTAATAATGAATAAAGCCTCAGTGAGAAATGCTGCGTGGCTCAAGAGTCTTAAGAGCTCTCTATACCCACAATCTTTCTTTCTCTCTCTTGCTCTCTCTTTCAATCTTTCCCTTTCCCTCTCTCTCCCTCTTTTCTCTCCCTGTCTCTCCCTTTCACTCTTTTCACTCTCTTTTACTCTGTCTCTCTCTTTTCTCTCTGTGTGTGTGTCTCTCTTTCACTCACTCTCTCTTTTTCTCTCTCTACCTCTCTGTCTCTTTCTCTTTTTCTCGCTCTTTTACTCTGTCCCTCTCTCTTTCCCTCTCTTTCTTTTCTCTCTCTGTGTCTCTTTCACTTTCACTCACTCTCTCTTTTTCTCTCTTTGCCTCTTTCTGTCTCTTTCGTTATCTCTTTCTCTCTCTTTTACTATGCCTCTTTCTCTTTACTACTTCCTCTGTTTCTCTCTCTCTGTCTCACTCTCTTTTCCCTCCCTGTGTCGCTCTCTCTTTCACTCACTCACTCTCTTTTCTATCTCTGTGTCGCTCTCTCTTTCACTCACTCATTCTCTTTTTCTCTCTCTGTCTCTTTCTTTTACTGTCATTCTCTCTCTTTATCTCTTGCTCTGTCACTGTCTCTTTCTCTCTGCCTCCTCCTCTCTCTCTTTTCTCTCTGTGTGTCTCTCTTTCACTCACTCTGTTTCTCTCTCTGTCTCTTTCTCTCTCTTTTACTCTGTCTTTCTCTCTCTTTATCTCTTGCTCTCGGTCACTGTCTCTCGCTCTCTCTCTGCCTCTCCCTCTCTCTCTTTTCTCTGTGTGTCTCTCTTTCACTCACTCTCTGTTTCTCTCCATCCAGTCTTCCTCTCTCTCACTGTCTCTCTTTCTGTCTCTTTCTTGCTCTCTCCAGTTCTCTCACTCCTCTGCCTCTCTCTTTGACGGACACAATAAAAATCTGTAAAAATCCCTTTCAGTCTCTCTCCTTCTTTCCTCTCCTTCTACCCCTCTCTCCTTTTACTATACTGTCACTCTTCGATCTCTCTTTGCATCCTTCAATTTTTCTTATCCTTTTTACCCTTTGCTTTCTCTGTGTTTTTCCAATGTTTGTCATTTCATTACACTCTCTTTCGCACTCTCCCCCTCTTTCCCTCTCCTGCCAGTGCCCCCTTTTCTCTCTTTATCCCTCTGTATCACTCCTTCCATAACACCCCCCTCTCTCTTACTCATCACTCTCGTTTTTTCTCGTTTCCTCTCCTCTCTCTGCTCCCCTCTCTTTCTTTTGCATCATCTCTTCCATCCCTCTCTCTCCTTCTCTCCCTCCGTCCTGTCTGCCCTCTCAGCTCCCTGTCATGCCTGCTGGTAAAATGTAGTTCATATAAGCTGCATAACTGTTACGAGAGTGCACATCAGGTTACTCACACATGACAGAGCCACATGTTAAACTGTAGTAACACATATGACTCTGTAGGCTGTGGAGAAGTACTACTATACTCCATGTCACTAGTAGAGCCCGACCGATATGGATTTTGTTGTGGCCGATATGAAACCGATATAATGTTAGTTGGAGCTGCCGATATAATCGCCGATATATTTAGTGATGTAAAAATTCACTGTAAATCTCGAATTGTTTAAAAAACTTAGGTTTGGCTCTAGTGGATTCTAAATTTGGTTTATTTAGGCAACATTTATTGTTATTCTGACTCTTTACGTCATATTTACATACAGTAGATTGGCCTAATGGCATTTTTGCATCACATTCTAGCTACTACTGATGGGTATTCCATTTTTTTTTTTTTTTTGGAGAACCGGCTCTTTTGGCTCGGCTCACTAAAGCAGCTGGCTCTTTCGGCTCCCAAGCGACTCTTGAGATTGTTTTGTTGCAAGCAGGACTAAACCAAAACTGAACCAGGACTGAAAAAGGACTAAACCAGGACTAAAACGGATTTAAACCATGTGTAAAACAGGACTAAACCAGAACTGAACCAGGACTGAGTGTCGGGACTCGGTCTCTCCCTCACTCGAGCCCAAGATTAGTCCTGGTTTATTCATTTTATGCTGAACTGCAGCCAAATATGCACTTTTTTTTTATCCTATGCACACGCATAGTTTCGTTTTCAGCCGCTGCTGCTGTCAAACTACGGGTCTACAAGAGAAAAAGTGAGAAAAAGAGAAAACACGGCTCCCAATAAGAAACATGCTCCCGTTGTTTGCTTCAAAGAGCCGGCTCTAAGAGCCGCTTCGATTGCGACCGACCTATAACTCCTAGCTAGTAAAGAAACTACTGCTATTAGCCTTTAGCCATAAAAACGTGCGCACCGCGGTAATTAATTATATGCATAAATGTGGATCATTCACACGTCTATTCACAGCTCATTTACATATCAATGGTGGTCCAGTAGCAAATATACGGCCAATATAGTCACTTTACAATATGCCAATAGAAAACAGCCTGTTTATGTGCGGGAGCTACAGCAGCTAATCGCTAATAACAAATAGCCAAAACTAGCTTCAAAGTCGATGTATTTCCAACACTCACCGCTCACACAGGCTCCTCCTCACATCACAAGTCTGCACTAATAAATGTCCTTTTAATCCAGACTCAAACCGATTGTCCGAAAAAGAATATAATCTCAGTGTTGCGCACCGCTGCGGGTGTAAACAAGAACACGTGAGTGAAGTGACGTGACTCTGGGGGTGTGTTCAGGGACAGTATGGACACAGACACAGACAAATTACACGACAGATAAATACTGATGCGGAGCCACATATTAGGACATTTATCTGTCTGTAAATTGGATTAAATGAAGCATAATGTAGAGAGTCTAAGCTTTATAACGAGGTATAACATGCCCACGTGAAATATCGGCCCATATCAGCAAGCATATCGGCCGATAGCCGATATGTCTCCAGGTGCCCATATCAGCCAGCTGATATATCAGTCAGGCTCTAGTCACTATAACCTGTATACATAAAATTAAACTCTAGAAAAAGTAGAAATGGTCAGGCA